AGATTTTCAATATACAGATTATTTTGTTTAAAACAGGTTGGTTGTTTTAAAAATAACACAATAGGATTGCAATTTTTTTAAAAAGAAATCTGCAAAAAAACTATTATCCATATGATAGATTCCAATAATTTAAAAATGTCCGGCACTTTACCTGGGTTGATGGATATAGAGGATATACCTAGGGGAGTTAGAAAACTCTGATTCCAAATCACTTGTGTACATGGGCTTCAGCATCCTGAAGGAATAAATGGCGTATGAACCAATCGCCAGTCACCGGCTACCATAGGACTGCATCTCATAACGTTACGTCACTGTATTATAGATCAGACCGTTAAGTCGAAGGCTCCAGGTATGGCCTCCTAAGAAAACCAAATGCTTCGGTCTGGGCACTTAGACAGTATCACAGCCGTCACACAAATCAAGTAACTTGTTTAGCATATATATGTATTCGGTCCCCCTTTGTACCAATATTTATTTGTTCAAATAAATATATAAACAAATAAATAAATTTAAGAATGAACTTAGGTTTTGCAGCAATTCTAATTGTTGTAATAAGTATTCAGCATACAGTTATTTAAAACGTTTTCTAGGTAGTTCCACGTTTTGTTTTCCTTATAACGAACAATAGTTTTAAGGATTATACTTTTATTTTAACCATTTACTAGATCATAAGAGAGAGTTTAGTTTCATTCAATGAATTGAAGATTATATGCTTGTAATTGTTTAAAGTTGATATTAAGAATATATAATAAATGTTAACAATTAAGATCATGAGTCAATTGAAGCTAGACCACAATGGAAAACCTGGAAGCACTGGACGGCCACTTCGTCCTATTCTGTGACTCTTTAACAGTGCGCACCCACGACCTCGTCTCGTGGGATTCGAACCCAGAGGCTTAACCAACTAGACCACTGAGTCGGCCGGCATCCAACTATGTTAATGTCTCACTTCAGTTTATCCACGAAATTGAGTGACAAATCCACCATTGTCATCAGTAAGTTACTATCTCATAACTGACCCAGTTGAACTCCACTGGTCACTGCTCCTCACTAGAACTCCAGGAAGTACCTCTTGAAGTCAGTCACTAGTGAGCACATGTTGTTTAGTATCAGAAAGGGGGTTTTGTGGAGATTGTAGTAATTTCAACAGTTGAGATCATGAGACAAATTTATTTGTTTCCAAGACTTAACTAAATGAATTACATAATATAGTAACTATATATTTCAGTTTTATTAATGATTAGTTATGATGTAATAATTGATTTGTTTTATAAACTATCGAATATTAAAAATGCATGAAATGTTCCCACGCTCCCCCCCTCCTCCTCTATTTTTTTGTTTGTTCATAAATCAATTCATTTTGAATATATACTTTTATTTATCAATTATTTGTTTACCTTGTTTCAAATGAATTCAATAGATGAATACAATTTGATTGATTAATAAATAATATTATATTAGTTACTATGGTGTAATGCAGTAAATATCGTCAAGGTTTTATGTTTGCTAACTCTTTACGCGCATAAAAAAAATCTTGAATCGTTTGGTTTACGTATTCATTTAATATAATTGACATATTTACTTACTTGTTTACTTACGCCTGTTACTCCTCGTGAAGGAGCATAGGCCGCTCACCAGCATTCTCCATTCAACCGTGTCCTGGGCAATCCTTTCCAGCTCCTTCCAGTTATTATTTATCCTTTTCATATCTGCTTCATTATCCGACGTAATGTGTTCTTCAGCCTTCTTCTTTTCCGCTTCCCTTCAGGATTCCAAGTTAGGGCTTGTCTCCTGATGCAGTTTGATGATTTGCGTAATGTATGTGTTATCCATTTCCATCGTCCTTTCCTAATTTCTTCTTCAGTTGAAAGCTGGTTTATTCTCTTCTACAGTAGGCTGTTGCTAATAGTATCGGTCAATGGATGTTGAGTATCTTGCATAGACAGCTATTTATAAATACTTGTACCTTCTTGATGGTGGTTGTTGTAGTTCTCCAAGTTTCAGCTCCATACAGTAGAACTGCCTTGACGTTCGTATTGAAGATTCTCAGTTTGATAAAAAAAATTTCTTATTATATAAATGATATATTTACTAATCATAATATTGTGCTATTGCATAGTAGCTTAACGTTTTTCAAGCGTAAATACCCCTCTTCGTATATATATATATATATCTGCAACAAACTACAAACGGGTTGATTCATCATAAATGTTCGTTCAAACAATAATGAAATCATTGCCAGAAACTCAAAATTGACAATCTGTTATTATTTATAGTATTGTAATCTAATTGATTCACTGAGTATGTGTACATGTAAAACAACACCAAGTGAATTCAAACCACACCCTATTGTACAAGCTTGTGGATATTAAAACTCAGTCGCTAAGTGGATAATACGTTGGTGTTTGAAGCAAACGGTATTGAGTTCGAGTCCCAGAGTGAATATCAATTTTGAGATACAGATACATTCAGTTATCGAGTCCCAAGTAGAACGAAACGCGCATCAAACTAAATTCCACTGCTATCCACCATCCATCTTTGTTTATGATACTTGTGAATTAAGTCTATATCAAGGCAATCCGTACAGGATACACATATATCATAAAAGAGATCGATCAAATGCAATCCTAAATAACAATGGAAAGATATAAATAAAACAATATCAAATGAATTTATATTGTTCCCAATTGAATTACTAATGAAATGAGTCAAATTAATCTTATTCAATTGATAATTTTACTTAAACTACTTTGTTTCCGAATATCAAAAGAATGTTCTAATTGTGATTACCGAAATTGCAGTTATCGATTACCAATTAAATTTAATTTAATGGTAACTAAATCTGCATAGAAATATCTATATGATTTAGGTATTAGTTTTTTAAGGCTAAAAGCATTGAATTTTATATCATTTATTTAAGCATATAAACATTAGTATAAGAAGACACCACATACGTATGTGCCACATAAATCATTCAATTTGTGTGAAGGCTGGCATACTGCCCGGGTGCCTAAACCAAAACAGGTGGTTTTCTTAGGAGGTCACACTCCGAGCCTTCGGCTTTAAGTTCTGATCCACAAGGTAGTGAAGCAACGTCAGGAGATTCAGTCCCATGATAGTTGGTAATAAACAATTGGTTGATACGTCATTTGTTCCTTCAAAATTCTGGAGTCTATGTACACCGTTGATTTGGAATCGGGGTTTTCCAACTCCTCTAAGTGAACGTTCTGTGTTCATCAACCCGGTTAAAGCGCTGGACATTCGCTTTTTGTCCTCTCAATTCCATAAGCAACAGTAATGCTGCGAGGAGGTATAGAGTAGGATTTCTCTGACGGTGGTTGTATGCACGTGTTCATCTGAGAACATTTCCAGTAGAAAAGCTGACTCTCCCCACTCTCAACCGTACTAGGGAGTTTGGGGGCAGTACCAAGGTATTTGAGTGCTATAGTAAATTCTTATATATGTAGTTTATATGCTTATATGTTGATACAATTTAATCCAAATAAGTTTTATTAGGAAACTCATCTCTTCGCTTACATCAATGAAAACTAGAGATCATTAGATTACGCATCTGTTACATTAAATGAGTAATAAAAACCAAATAGTCTACTGTAAATTCATAGCTTTTATTTATAATCAAAAGGAAATTAAAGGTTTTCTTGTAAAGTAGTAGATATATGAACAGATTATAATGAGCTAGGCTAAATGAATCTATAAACTGTCCATCTTTTTGTATGTTGGGTGGAAATTTTTTAAATTAATTTAGGACAAATGCAAATTTGATGTTAAAAATATCAGTAGTATAATATCTAAAACAACACCTTGTTACAAATATATAGACAGTTTGAATCTTTGATTGAGATCATGAACTGATTGATGTTAAACCATCGTTGGAAACCTGAAAGCATTGGATGGCCGTATCGTCCTAGTATGGGATTCCTCACCAGTGCGCATCCACTATCTCTCTTCGCCAGATTTGAACCCTGGGCCTTTAGTTTCGCGCTCGACCGCTTAACCTACTGGACTACAGATCAGTAAAAGTAACTAACTGATCAGTATATTTCATGGTTTTTCTCATGATTTATACTACTCACTAATGTTATGATAGCACCATAAAACAAATTCAACAGATTATAATCTATTGATGTTTATGATTAATACAAATTGGAATTTTAGAACAAACAATATTTAGTCATACTACTTATAAGTAGAAACAATCTGTGTAATATACTTTCAAATGCTTCTGTTTAATTGTTTTCAGTTACTCATTGTCATATGTGATGATTATCATGTCAAATCAATTAGTATCATTGTTCTTATACCCCCTACCTTATTGATAGAATTTGTCTATTACTAGGGAATATCATAGTTTAACATTACAATAACTAAGTAATTTACACGTTTTTACCATGAAATATCTACTAGTAAAACAAAAAGGCATGAATTGACATTTTTGTATATTTTTATATTTAAAACCATGTAAACACGTTCATTTGGTATTGTTTACTTGAATCTTCTCATTGATATTTGACACTACAATTGATCAGTCTCTTATGGGTATATGTACATCCTGTGCGGATTGCCTTGATATATAGCCTTAGGTCATAAGCATTTTAAGCAAAGATTGATAGTGCCTAACAGTGGAATCCAGAACATGCATTACGTATTATTTAAGACTCGTCAGTTAGATGCACTTGTATCTCAAAGTTGATGTTTACTCTGGGACTCGAACCGAATACCGTTCGCTTTAAACACCATCGCGTTATCCACTTAGCTATCGAGTCATTTAAACTTCATCTCATTACATAAGCAAGTGACTATCAGAACTCAGTAGTTAAGGCGATAACGCGATGGCATTTGAAGTGAACGGTGCTAGGTTCGAGTCCTAGAGTGAACATCAACTCTGGGGCAGTCATACATACACCTTATAAACTAATCTATATTTATGATCATTCATTTATTTATTTTTTCTTTATTTTGTACTTATTCAATGTATATAGGAAATAATGATGTAACAGTTGGTAAATTTTATGCAACTTTTTTAATACAAGAATGGTTTCGTAGATGGAAACAAAAAAAAGCTGAAGAACAAAAAGCTTTATTACATGGACAAGTAACCAAATATTAACTTACTACATTTTTCTTAAATTTTTTTATTCACTATATTGATTTCATTGTATTGAATAATCATTAACTAGACTGGTATTTGATTACAGATGTCTTAGAAATATTGTTCGATTCTGCTGGGATCACCAGCTAAGTAATAGTGAGGTTAGATGCCAGGGTATTAGGGAATGATTATAAATCAGTTAATGAGGTTGTGAATTCTCATCGACTGAGTTGGTTGGACCACGTGTTACGTATGCCTGAACACCGATCGCCACAACGTGCAATGCTGACTAGTGTTGGAGATGGATGGAAGAAAGTTAGGAGTGGCCAAAGCAAAATGTGGCATCAGTCCTTGAAGTCACTAACTTCTAGTCTGATCCATGTTGGTAAATCCAGACTACTTGGTTGGGGTCAACGTGACTATCGTAACCAATGGTTGGAGACTCTTGGTGACATTGGTCAGAATCGATCACAATGGCGTATGTAGGTGTATACACTCTCTGTCTACCCTTGAACTATGAGATTAAGATCGTTTCATATCTTTCTTTCTACAAACTAATTCTTTCTTCATGCACTATATCCTTATATACAATCTTTCTTTTATATATTACCACCATCGTTGAATTAATTACTTCTATGAGAATCCGGTGTTCATTTCTCTGTGCTGATAAGATATTGCAACTTTGACCAATGTATATATATACCTGGTCCTATGTTATAGCTGACTGACTGATTGACAATCATATTTTCCTTACAGTTTTGACTCATCAATCATGGAGTTATTCAATTACATAGTAAAGTGTAATGTCTTTGATAAAATGAACTGAATTATGTTACGACAAAGAAAGACTTACATTATTTAAACTGGTTGATGTTTTATTTTCAACAAGATTTTTCTTTACAATCTGAAATTGCTGACCCCATGCCCGACCCTCCTCTTTTACCCAGACTTGGTATGGGCAGTAGCTCTAGTATTTATTTCAAACAAATACTAGTTTTAATCAAAATGAATTCTAATGTTAATAAGCTTAATTCAGAATGTTAGATTTGTTCAGCTAGTTATTTAATTAAAAAGAAAACTTTCAGTCACTACCTTGATGATATTGTATACGATTCTGATTGATTATATGACTGTCTTCTCTTTATCCTGAATATTATCTATTGAAGCAAGAATCAGTCTAGTTTGTTGATATTCATCCTAAGATAAAGTAACTATAACACTTAGACCAGAATTTATCACAAATCTTCATTAGTTGCTATTTATCTTCATAGTTTTCGTCGTTTCATGTTAGTGTTCAAGAGTTAGGTGATATTACTTGGATTACTCAGTGATCTAGTTGGTTAAGCGCCTGACGCGAGACTGATAGATCCTGGGTCCGAATCCCGCGAGGCGAGGTCGTGAAAGCGCACTGCTGAGGATTCGTCTCACAATAGGATGAAACGGCCGTCAAGTTCTTTCAGGTTTTCAATGGTGGTCTAACGTCAATCGGTTCATGATCTCAATCAATAATTTAATAATCTGCACAACCCTATACTGATGTTGTTTTATAATCTGATACACAGTTATTTTGGAGTATACTTAGTGTTTAACATTAGTAAAAAATGATTGAATTACATAATTTCCCTTATTTATTGCTAATAAGTTAAGTTTCTAAAACATCCATTGTAATGTTTTTTTTAATCATTATTTTTTTCTAGGGGAAAAGACATTCAATCATGCCATTCAAAGTAAGTTTGTGCCGATGAATTGTTCAGAACAAATGTCATATATATACTTTTATGTATTAACTAATAGCTAGATCCTTATGACCGTTTACAAACACATAAATTACGTATGTCCTAGTTAGTTTCTTTATACCATTAGGTTAAACGCTTATAGATTATCCGAATATATGACTATACAGTAAGTCATCATAAGGAGAGATGAATAGTGGCGTGCGTTTCGTCCTGTTTAGGACCCGTCAGCTTGATGTTAGTTGATGTTCATTTTGAGACTTGAACCCGGTGTTTTTTACTCCAAACTCCATCGCGTTATCCACTTAGCTGCTGAAAACAGATAACTACTCACTTGTGCAACAATTATGAGATTTAATAGATGAAATGTGGCTGGCAGCGGATTCTAGGAGGTGTGCTTCGTCATGTTTGAAACTTATCAATTGGATATACTTTGATTTTAGAAGACCAAAAACTATTCTTCTTGAAACAAATTACTCTGAAGAATATTTTATTACGTCTATCTGAGGCAACAAACCATTCCAAACTGAATTAAATCAGATTTTGTTCATTAGATTGTATTTTGCAACTTCGACTTACTTAAAATTATAAAACGCTGTAACTTCTAGTTAACTAAGAAGTTATGTAACACAAATTGATTATTCATTACTTGGTTACAATTACTTTATTGATATCATCATTAAACGTAAATGATGAGTAGTTTGCCCGTCATCCATGAACTACACAATTCATTAGAACGTAATAAAACGAATCAAATAAAGATAGAAGAACAAAATATGATCATTTATGTGCTGGGAAAGAATTTATATGGAGGTAAGATATGACATAAACGACATATTTGTGATTAAGTTTATAAAACTTTTAAGATTTCCGTGAATCCCCCTAAGAGTAACAGTGATCATGTGCTGGATCTCTAATGAGAAGCCATGACTAGTGCAGATTAATTGTGTCGAATGTTGAACAATTATCCACCACATTCAATGGATGATGGTTACTCCATATTGTGATTTGATTGAAGTTAAACAATGACTGCATTGAATACCGGCTCGAGACTCTAGAGGTTAAGTGTTCGCTCAAGATACTGAATATCCTGTGTACAATTGCCGGTTGCATAATCGTAGGTGGACGATACTGAGAATTCCCATATGAAGATGAAACGGTCATCCAATACCTTCAAGTTTTCAATGGTGGTCTAGCTATGTACACTTCGTAGTTTAAACTGTGAAAATCTTGAAATGTGCACAAAAATCCCCTCACACTAATATATATGTTCTTAACTGTGTAACTAAGACACTATATCAAAGATTCCAGTATCTTTAGATTGATAGCTTTTATTTGGATGATACCCAGACTTCTTTTAGACTTTAGCAACAAAAACGTAGGTGTTAAAAAGGGTTTTTTTGTAAGTAGTAATTTCAATAGCTGAGATCATGAGTCAGTTAAAGTTAGACCACCATGAAAAACGTGGAAGCACTGGATGGCCATTTCATTCTAATGTGGGACTCCTCAGCAGTACGTGCCCACGATCCCACCTCGCGACATTCGAATCTAGGACCTGTCAGTCTCACGCGCTAGTGCTTAACCACTAGACCACTGAACCTGTCGACATCCAACGGTGTTAATGTCTAACTTCAACTAATCCACGAAATTGAGCAACACATCCACCATTGTCATCAGTGAGTTATTATCTTACAACACACCCGGTTGAACTTGACTGGTCACGGTTTCTCACTAAAACTCCAGGATATACCTCTTGAATCCAGTCACCAGTAAGCATATGTTCGAATCTCGCGAGTCGAGTTCGTGGATTCGCACTGCTGAGAAGTAGTCCCACAATAGAACGAAACGACCATCCAGTGCTTTCAGGTTTTCCATGATGTTCTATCTTCAATTGACTTATGATCTTAACTACCGAAATCACAACAGACATTACTCAAATAAATAAAACATAATTATATTCCATACTGAGTAATATTCTGGACAACATTTTATTCATTAGTCACTAAGTCATTGATATTATTATTAGTAGTATGTTACATTTTATAAAAAGAAAGATATAAGATAATTAAATTAGATTTTCATCTTATAATGATGTATAATTCATTTTCTATAATAATAATAATAATAGAGTTTTGGAAAACCTACAACTAGTTCTCTTGAAACACAAAATACTTCAATGAATATTTTATTACCACCATCTGAAGAAACAAGTAAACGTGGAAGTTCTGGTAGCCTTGGTGATGGGGATACGGTTAGTATGAAATACATAATAAATGTTTATTATTATTTAATAAACTAATTCTTTTCAATAATTTACAGTTTTGTTTATTTCTTTAAAGAAACTTTGGTGTGATTATAATTTATGAATGAACCAATCAGGTATAAGATAACAGGTATTCGAATTTCGGCGCGTTATTCATTCATTCATTAGGGTAAATAGAGTTTTGACATTAGAGCTGATGTCATTTGGTGATGATAAACCATAAATCTAATTCCTAATCTTAATCATTAACTGTTAATTATAATTCAAATTTATCACTCTAGTTTATAACCTTCATTTGGTACTGCTTATTATAGGTGTACACTGTCATAGTCGGTCTAGAGTCACTCAAAAGTCATTCATAAATTATAGTCTCATCTAATTTCTTTTCTGCATTTTCATCCACATTTTATGCATTTTGAATATTTTTGTGTGATAAAATTTTATAGCTTTCTAGAATGTTCCTGAAATATACTCTTAGCTTGACTATCATTAAGTAAGAACCTAAGAGGTTTCCTTGCAGCGTCTTTCCTACGTCCGGTAAGACGCAGGCAAATACACGCTCACACTAGAGCATGATCTGAATCTAAGCATGTGCTCCAGAATGATTGACAGTCCTCTATCGAACCCCTCCATCGGTGACTAATAGCGATAGGATCGATGGACAAAACACTTAACGGATCATTTCAACTGGTTTTCAGCCACACTTTGGTTTCTCACGATCTGTAGTCAACTTGAATGACAAGTTAATGTAGGTCCTCCGACCCTTGATGAAGTTGAAAAATCTATAGGAAATCTGAAGCGGGGGATTTGAATCTCTGTGCTAATGTGATGTGGCAACTTGAACTGATGTACGTACGTACGAAGTTCTGCGTTGTTACTGACTGACTGATTTTCATTTTATAACATTCTCTTTTTTGATAAATGATTAAAGCATTCGGTGAGACTATAATTTATGGACAGCGTTTGAGGGACGCTAGACTGTCCTTGAGAGTGTATCCACCTAATAACTAAGAGTAACTGAGGTTTATAAACTAGGGTGAGGAATTCGAATTATGATATACAGTTGATGATTAAGGTTAAAAATTAGATTTAGGGTTTTCATCACGAACCGACATCAGCGACAATGCCAAAACTTCATTTAGTCAAATGGATGAATGAATTTTGCGCCAAAATGAGAGATCTATTATTCTATAACTGATTGGTTCATCCATAAATTATAGTATCGTCAAGCATTCAGTTATTTAAACCAACTGATTATTGAATAAATTTCATTAAAGTAAATTATAATAATAGTACTAACTGATCATTTATTCTTCAACTATTATGATGATATAACTTTCCAGGTTAATGAACTAAATCCCGCAGATGGGATCGTAAATTCGCACTTCTGAAACGTCCCATATTAGGATGAAACGGCTATCCAGTGTTTCTGAGTTTTTCATGGTGATCTAGCTTTAATTGACTCATGAATTCAACTATATAACCAAACTAGTCAAAATCCAGTGATTGGATGTTGTTGTTGTTGTTGTTTTCTTTGATCATAAATGCTACTAAATGACGTTGTTGTGGTTTTATCCTCATTCTTTGACTTTAAAATTCCCACATTTTAGTAAATAATTTACATTTATTATGTTTTAAGGTAATGACTGTCAGTTAATTGGCTCATTAAATGATCCCTAAACTATCACAGACCTGTATTTTCTAGCCTTCAATAATCCAACATTATGAAATTAAATTCTTCACAGTATATTACCATGTTAATGTTGATATTCACCATTGATCGATGTTAAGTCAATAACCCTAAAACAAAAAATAGAAAATCTAATTTGTCAGATGATTTACACTATTAAATCGGGAAGCACTGGACAGCTGTTTTGTCCTATTGTGGGACTCCTCAGTAGTGCGCATCGAGAATCTCTTCTCGCGAGATTCGAACACAGGGTCTTCAGTCTCGCGCATGAACGCTCGGCCTACTAGACCATTGAGCTGACCGGCATCCAACGGTTTTAATATCTAACCTTAACCAATCCACAAAATTGGGTGACGATCTTCCATTTTACTGAGGTAGATACCTGTCTCTACACGACATGGATTAGCTCCACTGGTTCAGTGCTTCCAGATTTTCAATGGTTACCTAACATCTTTCGGTTTATAATCTCAATCAATAACTTACTCATCTCCACAACCCTATACCGATATTTGTCTTTTCACATAAATATTATAAATTCTTTGAGTTTAAAGTTTTCTTTTCATTATATTTTCATACTCTATAGCATCATAGTTTGTTAGACTCAGTAAAAAGTGTTATACATCGAGTAGGTAGTTCAAGACGTCATTCAGAAGTTTCACAATGTAATGAACGTGAAAAATTATCACAACCATACAAACCTTCATTAGAGTCAACGGATAAAAAGTTACCATTAATTTCTAATGATCATTTACAATCAAATCAAACATCAAAATTGAATACATCCAAAGTATTGATTCCTGATTATTCAAGTTCTACATCACAAAGAATAATGCTACCAACAATTAGTCAAGGTAGTCATGAAGATGAAGATGTTGATAATGGTGGAATTGGAGGTTTCAATAAAATAATGGAAGGAAATGTATGTATTCATTTTCTTTTTTCTTTTTTTGAGTTGTAACTTTTATTGATTACTGAATGTTGATTAATCATCTTTGGGGTGTCAAGTATTATTATTATTATTATTGTTGTTGTTGTTGTTAATTTGGCCAACTCTATGTTTCGACAATGTAAGAGGTACGAGTTCTTCAAGAAGAAACGAAAATAGATTTCTGAAACTTGATACTCTAATGATCAGATAAGATAATTAGTAGTAAATAATATGATATATGTCCTTGAAGACTTTGTCCCTTCTAACTTCTGGTCTAAGCCATGTTGGTAAATGCAGACTACTTGGTTGGGTTCTGCGTGATTATTGTAACCAATGGTTAGAGACTGTGGGTGATATGACTCAGAATATATCACAATGGCGTATACACTCGCTGTCTTTCCTTAAACGATGAGATTGAAATCACTTCATATCCTTCTTTCTACCAACTTATTCGTTCTTCCTCTACTATATACTTATTACAATCTTTCTTTTATATATTACCACCTCTGAATTAACTACTATGAATCCGGTGTTCACCTTACTGTACTAAATAGGTATGGCAACTTGGGCTGATGCATATATGTGCCTGGTCCTATGTTGTAGCTGACTGACTGGTTAATTCAATGATGTCTTTAAACAGCGAGAAAGAAATCTTTTTTTTAAAGTACTCAATTCCGAAGATAAATGCATAGGATATTTGGAAACCATCGGTTATTTCTTCTATACTGAAATATTTATATATCAAATTTATGCCCTGAATTATTATGTTTTTTTATGAGCCTCTATGAATTCAACTGAACTGATAACATCACTTAATTTTGATTTACGAGATATGTATATATGTAACTTGGATCGGTTCATGATCTCAATGATATTCAATATTCTCCACGAACTTCTATGCTGATTATAACTACTGTTCTAAATTTTGTAAGCTCTATTCAAGTAGAAACCTATTAGAAATACCAACCATCATCTTCTTCGCAAAGAGTAAATCTATAGTTTTATACTTTAGATAATAAAGAACACTCTAATTCACTTTGTGAATATCGAAGAATGTTATGATGTTGTGATTATAATTAGCCCGACCAGATATCACATGATTTATTCGACAATCGTAATACAACTTATTCAATCTTAGTACTGTGTTAAATCAATGACGTTCGACTGGTATGAGCAGCTTGACATCTTTATTGGTCCAATCGACACCAGAATGTCAACAATAGATCCCACTGTTAGCCACCATCCATCATTGCTGATTAATGAAAGTAATTTGTTCAACTTTTTTTGTTACAATTCTATATTCATTAAACTTTATTGGTATTTTATTAACAGGCTATACATATAGAGAAGTATAATACATCTAATGACAAATATTATTCTGTTCATCCAAATAAAAGAATTGATAATGGATTTATAATTGATGATACTGTACCACAGCAACAATATTCAATAAAACCAGCTGATTGGAATAATACTATTTATACGGATAGAAATAATGTTAAAAATCGGTAACTATTGTATTACATTATCATTTTGAGATATATTTAACATTTCAATTGATATACTACTTACTTACTTACTTACGCCTGTTACTACTAATGGAGCATAGGCCACAGACCAACATTCTCCAACCCACTCTGTCCTGGGCCTTCTTTTCTTGTTCCATCCAATCCTTGTTCATTTTTCTCATGTCTATCTCCATTTCCCGGTGTACTGTGTTCTTTGGTCTTTCTCTTTTCCTTTGGCCTTCAGGATTTCATGTGAGGGCTTGTCTTGTGACGCAGTTGGGTGCTTTCCTCAATGTGTGTCCTATCCACTTCCAGTGCTTCTTCCTGATTTCTTCGTCCGCTGAGATCTGGTTTTTTTCTTTCCAACAGCAGGTTGTTGCTGTTAGTGTCTGGCAAACGGATCCGAAGTATTTTGCGTAGACAACTGCATCCTAGACCAATTATATATTACTTAAATAATAATCTACTCAATAGATATGCATAACTATTTATCTATTTCAGTATTTTATTTTTCTGGTTAGCGTTTTTTTTTAAGCGATTTAGTTTTCTACGGGATAGGGTTACTAACCCTATGTCCAACCCTTCACCTTTACCCAAGCTTGGGAACGGCAGTAACCATGGAAGTGCTACAAGCGATGTTTCAGTATTTCATATAGAAACTTAAATTAGCGATAATTCCAGATCGTGTTGTTAATCATTAGAGATAGTACACGAATAACACCTACAAGATATGCCATTAGTTATCAAACGCAATAGATATAATGTGTACAAAACTAATAATTCATTTAATAGTCATAAAAGTATATTAACCATGAAATGAAAGATGATACATTGAAGCTGATAACATATGCTCACTAGTGACTGACTTCAAGAGGTATTTCCTGGAGTTCTAGTAAGAAGTACTGACCAAGGGAGTTCATCCAGGTCTGTTATGAGATAGTAACTCACTGAAGATAATGGTGGACTGTGGCATGGCTTCGCGAATCCTTTCAAGTTAGATATAAACACTGTTGGATACAGGCTAAGTCAGTGATCTAGAGGTTAAGCGTTCGTACGCGAGACCGATAGTTCCTGATTTTGAATCCCACCAGGCGGGGTCGTGGATGTGCACTACTGAGGAACCCCAGAATAGGACGAAACGGCCATATAGGCCTTCCAAGTTTTCCGTGGTTGTCTAGTATCAAATGACTCATGACCTCAACTATTAAAACATTAATGTTTGTTTATTTCCCATAGAGATTAAATTATCAATTCAACGTAATCGTATATACCTGGAGTTTCACATTGTTGTCACTGATTTGGCTGATTCAATGGATTTGTACAGTCATAACATGAAATTAAAGTGTGCTTTTTGGTTAGATAGTGTTGTAGTTAACAGAACACGAGAGGGTACAATCGAATTCATTTAACTCAAGCTTACATGATTTGTTATTAAAATCTAATTATATAGTAAATGCTTAATTTGCAAAATGTCCTTTAGATGTCTTAAAATGACTCAGATTTTATTGTTCTTGCATTTTCATACAAATTGCATTCTGTTCCCATTCTTTCCTGTTCGATCCTGTTGTCTCTTTGCTGTCAGACATTCTGTTCCTGACTAACATCATATACTACTTATGTCGATATAAGTAGCACACACCACAGTATTACCGAAAAGAATATATGATAACCAGAAAAAAATAGCTCATTTCACACATACAGCTTTAGTATTTAAATGGAAAAAAATTTTGTCCAAATTCATTCTACTTGACCTAATAAACGTCATAAACCTTAACAGGATATTTCAACATTCCTTGGTTGTTTCTTCGTGATTACCAAAGATAATTTATGAATTTTAATGTATGTTAATTAGCATCATTGAACTGTTATGATCACTACAAACTTCCTGCGTGATTAAGATTTTCATATCAATCGATCTTTAAACAGTACCTATTCTCATGCTTTATTGATCGTAGTACGAATCCAATTCTGTCGGTGAATTTATAATATAGGGACTGTTATATGATTCCATATCACAATTTACTTCATTTTTTTAAACTACTTATGAGTAGGTAAAAATAACATGAAATTGTTTTGATAAGCACGATTGATTGATCACTGGGTGATGATCAATGTCATGTATGTCAAGCCCCTCTTAGTTCAACCAAGTTACAAAGTGACCAATAGTCTAGGTGACTCAACATTGCGTGCACTATGTTGAGACGAATGAGAAGTAGCACGAAACCCTGGTGTTTTTTTCTAGTTGAATCTCACACTTTAATAAACACGTTTTAATAAATATATATATATATATATATATATATATATATATATATATATATATATATCTTTATTTAGATTTTGTTATTTTCTTACCAATTTTATCTTTTTATAAGCCCTATATCAACCTTACCATATGGATCAAATTCTGCATTATATAAATCAACAGACTTTTCAACTATTCCTTATATACAAGAATCAGTTCATCATATTTCACCATTATATAAATCAAATCATTATAATCCATCAAAATCTATCAATGTTATAAATGAATTACAAAATGTAAATAATAAAGGAAATGATTTGATTAATATGAATGAAGAAGAGAATAGATCTGAAATAGAAGAAGAAGACGAAGAAGTATTCGAAGTAGAAGAAGATGATGAAGAGGATTTATTTACAACAATAAGAAGTGAAACACCTAGTCCAGCACCATCAATTGCTGCAGCTATACTTAGGCCAAATTATTATTCTAATTTAAAAGAACATAAATTAATAATCATAGGAAAACAATTGATCCTTCAGATTTTACAGTTTATACTAGTATACCAAGAAATTTAATGATGAATAAATTGATCAATAAAAGTGGGAATACTAGTGGATATTCTAATGGTATGGTTAATAAGAACTTGGAAGAATTATTAGATTTACCTAAGGTATAAATCAATCATTTATTTACTATATTATTGTATATATACATAATGTTTATGAAATATAATTTGATATGTACTTCATACAAAACAATTACAGTTAACACATTACCATTAAATTAAATTTGAAGCTTGATTGGTAAAGGTTTCTCTAAGTTACAAAAGGTGAACTAAGATCTAGAGATCAAGCGTTCACTCACGAGACCGTTTGGTTTTGAGTTAGAATCTCGCGAGCGGGATTGTGGATCTGTATTGCTCAGGAGTCCTATACTAGGACAAAACTACCGTTAAGTGCTTTCAGGTTTTTCATGTTGGTCTAGATTTAATTGACTCAACTATTGAAATTATTGAAATTTCTACAAAACCCCTTCTCATAATAATCATCTGATCACTAATGACTGACTTCAAGAAGTATTTCCTGGAGTTCTAGTGAGAAACCGTGACCATTAGAGTTCAACCAGGTCTGTTATGAAATATCAGCTCACGGAAGACAATGGTGGATGTGTCACTCAATTTCATGAATTGGTTGAAGTTAAACATTAACACTGTTGGATGCCAGCCAACTTAGAGGTCTAGTGGCTAAGCGCTTGTGCGCGAGACTGATAGATCCTGTGTTCGAATTGTGGGTGTGCATTCCTGAAGAGTTCCATACTAGGACGGAACGGCCGTCTAGTGCTTCCAGGTTTTTCATGTTGATCTAGCTTCAATTAACTCATGATTTCAATTACTGAAAGATTTATTTAACAGAATGTTGTAAAAACCTGTAATAAAGAGTTAACTATTTCAAATGTCAACTTTAGAAAATACTGCTATACACTTCCTAGAGCAAGGTACAAATGACTTTCATTGAAACAGCTAGATACATCATTTTATAAATCAACCATATTTTAGACAATATTTTATTCACTCAATATTTGTTTTAAAGATAGTACCTTTTATTATTTTAAAGATTGTCACTTACTATAGTAGCTTCGTTCTCATTGAATATCTTTAAATAATCATTTTTGTGAAACTGAATATTAGTTAATAGTGGCTAGCAGTGGAATCCAGTTTGACGCGTGTTTCGTCCTATTTGGGACTCATCAGTTGAATGTACCTGCATCCCAGAGTTGATGCTCACTCTGGGACTCAAATCGAGTACCTTTCGCTTAAAACACCATCTCGTTATCCACTTAGCTACTGAGTCCTGATATCCGCTAGCCTGTACAATGGGGTCACATATGCCAACAAGAGCCTGATCAATTCCATTCTTAAATAATAATGGAAAGATATAACTAAAACAACACTAAGTGACTATGAATCTTAGTTGTTTAGTTTCTTTCCAACTTAGAGTATAAGAATCACAGCTTTCTTGTATCTATATAATAGGATGTCCAATTAACCAGTAATTCCATTATTTTCCATTTCTCTGTTGATTTATCAAACTTACCAAATCAGTCTATAAACAAGAGTTTTATAATCAACTATAACAGTTAAACTCTTATTATCGAACCTTGGTAATGTTTATTTGTATCCTCCCATGGATGTTTAGGATTGCAATTGATCAGTCTCTTATTGACATATGTGTATAATATGCGTATTGCCTCATAATAGCCTTAATTCACAAGTATTATAAGCAAAGATGGATAGTGATGTTAGCAGTGGAATCCAGTTTGACGCGTATTTCATCCTATTTTGAGACTTGTCATTCAACCGTTTTTGAGTATATTTTATAATATTTAAATGTAATACATCATATATTGTACTTTATTGTTATACCTTTCATTAATCAAGACTATTTGGACCGCTTGTTTACCAGATGTTCAGCCAATCAATGGAAATTCTCATTCTAATCGAAGTGTTAAATATTACAAACGTCAACTACCTCAAATACCTTCAGAAGTTAATAAAATAGATGTTAGAGATACATCTAATCCTTGTCAAATATCCACGTCTATAGGAATAAAAAAAGGAAGAGATAATCTGTTAACAGACGTCTTGAAGGTAATTTAAAATAAATGGATTATCGTTTTTGTTTTATAATTTAGTTTATTCATTATCATTCATAGTACATAAAACACTACATTTTGAACTATTAGTATAGGAGTTTGCGGAGATTGTAGTGATTTTAGTAGTTGAATTCATGAGTTAATGTAAGCTAGATTACCATTAAAAACTTGAAAGCAATGAATGACCGTTCCATCTTAGTATGGGACTTCTCAGCAGTGCGTTCCACGATCCAGAACTCACGAGTTGAACTAATGAAGACCTTCGGTCCCGTACGCGAACGCATAACCTCTAGTCGAATAAGCTGGCAAAGAACAGTGTGAATGTCTAACTTCAATCGATCCATAATCTTGCACAATCATTCATCTATTATCTGAGTTAAATACCTGTCTTTATCCGACTCAACTGATCATGGCTTCTAGGATGAAATGACCGTCCAGTGCATCCAGTTTACATCGATTCATGAATTCAACTATTAACATTTCCAACTAGTTTTTAATCATATTTCATTTGTCCAAAGGTAATAACTTAATTTTGTCACGTCTTTTGTTGATTCTCTTGACTTCCAAACGTACTAAGAGCTATGATAAACTCATAACAAGAATATTTATTTCTATAAAATCAACTCCGAAACCCACTTATAATTCACTTAGTATTGTTTGTCTTGTATCATTCCATTGAGGTATAAGACTGCAATTTATCAGCACAAGCAAGTAGCTATCAGGATTCAGTAGCTGAGTGGACGGTACTGGATTCGAGTCCAAGAGTGGACATCAACTCTGAGATGCAGGTACATCCAACTGACGAGTCCCAAATAGGACGAAACGCTCGTCCTGGATTCCACTGCTAGCCACTATCCATCATTGCTCACAAAAACCACTTATAGGTCATCTATAAATGTCATATTGATTTCCTCAGTTGTTATATCTTAGCGAAGATTACATTACAAGTAACTTCTAAGACCTAATAATGGACTAATATTATAAAGTATATTCCTATGGGGTACCTAGCCTGTCGTATGTCCTGATGGTGTTCTCGTAACCTTCGGGTTGCCTGATCTGCCAAAGGCGATGGGACAGTGCATGATGCTATTGTTGTGTGCTAGGTTCAAAAAGAATTGTATGCTATATGAATGCAAACCCGCCCCGTTATTGTTCCTATCCCTGCTTCGGTTTGAGCACCCGGGCAATATCACAGCCCTCACATATATCAAATGAGATTTGTGTGGCGCATATGTATTTGGCGTCTCCTTGTACCAATATCTATGTGTTGAAATAAAATAAAATATATTCCTATTGTATAATTATTCAGTAACTAGATTGTGTATATCCACATTCCTCTTCATTTTGATCTATAAACTATTACTGTACGACTTACTATTGTTAAATAATACTCAGTTTATTAAATACAGTCCCCCACGTTCACAGACACTTTTTGGCTTGATCTTGTATAAATGTGTATTTCCTATTTCATGGTTTGATGTGGTCCTGTTTGGCTGATAATATAAATCATGTTTGAAATAAGTGATTCGCATAGTGGAAGCAGTTATTGATGTTCTGGACTCAGCTGAACGAGTTAGGCGAACAAAAGACCAATAAGAACACTAGACTGCTCATATACCAGTCGAATGTCATAGGTTTAGCACAGTAGTAAGGTTTGTATAAGTTTAAATGAAATGAAGTCACTAACCTATATGCCCAACCCAACTTCCTATATCTGGGCTTGGAATCGGCAGTAACTCTAGAAAAGCTATAACCAAAGTTTGTATGAATTGAATCATCACTTTGTAAATACTTTTTTTAATAAGAACATTATAATGTACTTTCATTCGAAATTGTACTTCCATAAGTTTACTTACAGAAATATAAAGTATCATATGGCTTGAATCAAGTACTTTACTATAAAGTATAATTACAAAAGTATTTAATTAATTAGATAATCATTATAATATTACATTCATAATTTGTTTGATAGTCTTAGAACCAATTCTAAATGAATGAATCATAGTTCAAGAGATTAGGTCTAGAAACTCACAGTAGAACTCATAGTCATTATAGTTATATAATATACCCTTGTGGGCCAGGATAATTTTACATTGGTTTTCCGGAGAACCAAACACCATCCAGACTTTCATGTGACAACCCAAAGAGTACAGTTCAGTCCCGCTTCACAAGAGAATCAGACATCGTATGGGCTTTAACGCTACAATCTGAACAGTACGGCTTAACCCTGTGTCGCAACCACACAGGTACCAAGCGCCCTGGTGGACCATTCATATACACATTCACGTCAATAATCGCGTGAATCAATTATAGACAGCATGAACAGGCCAAAGTTGACCTATTCCGCTTACACGACAGTCAAATCCATTATTGTTAGCAATGGCGACAAGCATTACAGTGTTCCAGTGACAATGGTCCTTGAGAACACTGAAAAGCAACCACCAATATGAATGAAATTGGTTAGCAAGCAAACCAGTTTTGTGCATGAACAGTCAGTAAAACTTACCAAAGTAATGTCGAGCCATCCAGAATATGAATGGCGAACCTCCAGTCTTATATGAGACCTTCAGCTCTACACAACCATATAGCTTATTTGTAGAATTAATTATTATAATACAGTAATGTAATGAATTCTGTGTTATGTTTGAAACAGTAATGGAATATTCTAAACATTATTATCATATTCACTTAATATTATTGTTTACTTGAATCTTCCCATTGATGTTCGGGACTGCAGTTGATCAGTCTCTCGTATTGGTATATATACATCCTATACGAATCACCTCAATATTGCCTTAAGTCACAAGCATTTTAAGTAAAGATGAATAGTGGTTAGCAGTGGAATCCAGAATGATCAAGTGCAGTCCTGCACGTCAATGGGAAGGTTCAAGAAGAAATACTGTATTACTATTTTGTTCTAGATTCACTTGGTATTGTTTACTTGAATCTTCTCATTGTTATTTAAGATTGACATTGATCAGTCTCTCTTATTAACATATATGCATCCTGTGAGAACTGCCTCGATATTGACTTAAGTTACGAGCATTTTAAGCAAAGATGGATGGTGGCTAGCAGTGGAATCCGGGACGCGCGTTTCGTCCTACTTGCGAACCATCAGCTGGATGTACTTGATCCGGAACTCAAACCTAGTACTGTTCGTTTCAAATGTTATCGCGTTATCCACTTAGCGTCCTAGATTTCACCGTTACTCATAATCATATAACAAGAATTAACTAATGATGTTCGTTCTATTAAGATGTTAAATGAAAGTAAAACATCAAAACGTTAATAATCTTTTACACTGTCGCACTATCTGGATTATTTAAACAGATTTCAAGTAAGTCATGCATAGATTAAAGAAATTTATTTTGTAGCATATATATATGTAGTGAACAAGAACAGTAGTGGAAGACAATCGAACGTATTTGAGCCCAAAATTATAGAGCATTTCAATAAAATGTGAGAACCATATAGTAACTAGTTAATTTGCAAAATGTCCATCAATTGTCTTAAAATGACTCAGATTTCATTGTTCTCGCTTTTTCATACAAATTGCATTCTGTTCCCATTCTTTACTGTTCGATCCTCTTGTCTCTCTACTGCCAGACATTCTGTTCCTGTCTAACGTCATATACCACTTATGTCGATATAAGTAGCACATACCACATATATACTTCTGTGAAATTTAATTCATCTGTATTGGTTAATTGAATTTTCTCATAGATTTGAGAAGTGTAATTAATCAATCATTGAATAATAAAACTGTGGGATGTAGATACATTCGGCTGATGATTCTTGAATAGGATTAAACACGAATCTTAGATTACACTACCAGCTACCATCCATGTATGGTTGCTGTGTGAAATTTATTTATTTCGTCAGATAAGTAAGGTTTCTATAGAAACAAAGAATAGGGAATCGAGAAATTTGACTGGAATAAATTGTTTAATGAACTACAAATGAATGTGTTCGATGATACATTTGATTGTAAAGAATATGACCTACAGTTATATCTATTTTCTGTAAAGGCTGAAGTAAAGGATATATATATATATCAGTTAGGTTTTGTGGATATTATAATAATTTCAATGGTTGAGACCATCAGTCAGTTAAAGCTAGATTAGCATTGAAAACTTGAAAGCACTGGACGGCCGTTTCGTCCTATTGTAAGACTCCTCAAAAGTGCGTATCCATGACCTCGCCCCCTGTGAGATTCGAACCCAGAACCTACTGGTTTCGCGCGCGAGCACATAATCACTAGACCACAGCTGGCCGGCATCCAACAGTGTTAATGTCTAACTTCAACTAATCTACGATACTTTTTTTCAATTTATTATACCCTTTCAGATGAACAATACAAAATCCGGTTTTATGAGTATACCACAAAAGAAGGAAAAATCTCAAATCAATGAAGATATTTCTGTTATTGTATATCAACCACCATCTATTGATCCACATGGTCCTGCACCTAATCCACCTGTATATTGTTCATCAATTCCTCAATCTAATCTATGGTCTTCAAGGCATAATAATAATCATAATAATATAGAATCTACTGAAATCAATAAAGAATTATCTCAAATGTATTTAAAACAATCAACAACTCCAAGACAAAATTGGTTAAATCAGGTTTGTCATTTATATATCATTTATACTTCATTGATAGTTTTGATGAAGTGAAGAACATTAGTAAGAATATAAAAGCTTTTTTGATAAATCATCAAAAGTATCGAATGTTAACCTTTAGATTTTAATAGAATAACTTCTAAGTCAAACGATCGTTGAAAACCAGGAAGAAATGAATAGTACATTTTTGTTTAGTATGTAACACCTCACCAATGAGCATCCTCGATCCAGTATTCAGGAATCAAACCTAAGACATTCTACAGTCTGTACAAATACCCTTATATTTAAAACCTGAAAATGGTTGCCAGTTCATATTAATGTTGCTTCATTAACAGCTTAGAATTCATCAATGTTCGACTATTCGCCATTTTCAGTTAATGCAATCTTTACAATGTCTACCTTAAGTAAATTTAATGAATCTGACTTGAATTGGATAGAGTTCGTCAGTCGGTACGTAATCTTAAAATAATAACATTATTTGTCTCTATAACATGCCATAATGCCTCTAAGAAATTGAACACGGTAGAATAGGATGATAATCTACATTGGAACATAATATATATTTTATAACTGTACGAATGAACTGGTTTCATAAACTGTATTAGTATCGCCAGGCTCACTCTACACAATGATTTGAACAGAGAAGAAGAAAAGGCGCGTAATATGCAAAGTACGCCTTACTCTGACGTCAGTTTATGTACAAAGTAAACTTCTGGAAAGTTTCAGAACCCTCAGAAACAAAATAGCAGTATGGGCATTCATCTAACTGAAAATGTGACATGTGACATTTCATTGTTCACATGTTTGTGAAACACTTCTGCCAACGCTTACTGCATAAAATATTCTCTACTGTTTTCAGGGCCTCTTTTGATCTGTTTTGTTTTTCAAGGAATTTTCACGGTCTCCTCAACAGAATAAAATATGTTTTTAGAGATAACTCGAAATATTATACCATCCATTAACTTAAAAAAGTAACATATTTCTCAGCGAAAAACTCAGCTAGAAAATTCGGTGGGACTATAATTTATGGACGACCTTTCAGCGACGGTAAAGTGACATGGAGAGTGTCTATCTACTTACTAGAGCTAAATGAGTGTTATAAATCGGCGTGAGGAAATAGAATTATGATTCACAGTTGATGGTTGAGGTTAGGAATTAGATCTAGAGTGTTCATCACAAACTAATATCATCTATAATGCCAAAAGACTATTTAGCCTAACGGATGAACGAATTTCGTGCCAAAATCCGAGATCTGTTATCTTATGCTTGATTGGTTCATCCAGAAATTATAGTCTCGCCGAATGCGTTTGCGAAAGTGAACACAATGTTATTCATATGGCATGTTAAATAATGAAACAATATTGATTTGCTTTAGGAGAAGTCTAAATTTCCTATGAAATATAGATAAAAATGTCATGAATATTCAGAGTTTGACAACGTTGTTGTTCATAACAACTTTGTAATCGAAGGATTCTGAACACATTCAAACTAGGAGTCAGAAATAAAGTACTTTTTGAAAGATATTCGATAAGTTATGAAGTGTGTGTGTGTGTGATGTAAACCAACTAGTTATTGCTAGGAAATGCTTAGTCCAGTGTACCCAATGATAATCCAATACTGATGCATAACCGAGAACCTTCAGCTTGGAATTGTCTAGTAAAAGCAATAATGTCAGAATCTATTTCAAAGACTTAAAGAACTATTTAGTTTGAAGATTTATTTGTCGCTATACATACCAAAACGTGGCACAAATCCATGAAATCACTAACAAGTGGACTGAGTCATGTTGATAGGTGTAGACTACCTGGTTGGGACCTACGAGACGATAGCAACCGATGGTTAGAGACCTTGAATGTAACATGGCTCAAAATCGTTTGCAATGGTACAGGTGCATCCACTCTTTGTGTTCTCCAAAATCCTCACCTTCTGAATTCTTCATATCCCTTTTCTTTTTCTCATTCCAAATTTATTTTACTGGATAATACTCTTTGAATAACAGCTTCAAACCCTAATGTTTTCGATTATTGATTATCTTCTTACTACTTATACCACTATGGGATTTGAATCGACAATTTTATCTCTGTGTTAATGTAGCATGGCAACTCGAACTGATGTACGTACGTACGATGTCCTACGTTGTTACTGACTGATTATTATTATTATTGGCTCTATTTATTATTATATTTTTGGTACAATATAGAATTCTCAGCATAAAGTAATTCAACACCTTTCCTTTTCATATATCTTTATCTATCCTGACGATAATATATTGAATGATCGCCAGTTAGAAGTAAGCAGTTCAGAAATCGATATCTGATTAATGTTCATTCGTTTCAATGCATATTGCCTGCTAGCAACTATGGTGTCTCTGATTAGGCTATTTTGTAACTTGTATAACAATAAGTTGTACACTTTTCACAAACTCAGTTGAATAGGTTATGTGACTAAATAAGTATAATGACAAACAAGAAAATAGATAACTTGTGTAAAATATATATAGCCTCTGTCAAGGAAGTCCTACTCACTGCCTTCTCGTGGCGGGGGTGTTGTTTACGAAATTGAGAGGATGAAAAGTGAATGTCCGGCACTTTAACAGGGTTGGTGGACATGGAGAGTTCACCTAGGAGAGTTAAAAAACTGATTCCAAATCAATAGTGCACATGGGCTCCAGTATCCTAAAGGAACAAATTGCGTATGAACCAATGGTTGGTCACCGGCTACCATGGGACTGCATTTTCTTACGTTGCTCCACTGCCTTGTGGACCAGACCTTTAGGTCAAAGGCTCAGGAAGTGACCCCCTAAGAAAACCACCTGCTTCGGTCTGGGCACCCGGACAGTATCACAGCCCTCACACATATCAAATGAGATTTGTGTGGCGCATATCTATTTGGTGCCCCTTTGTACCAATATCTGTGGTAAAATAAATAAATGGTAAATGTGTGAAATATCGTAATGACAGGAAATAGATAACCCAGATATTCAAACAGTCCGCTTGGAACTTTTGTTCATTTGTAATGATAATAACCTACTTTTATTGTTGTTGTTTTTGTCTTTTTGTAGCTAGTTATTAATGATTTAAATGAATCAATGATGAAATATAAATCGATTGATGAAGATTGGTCACATCTTGATCTTCCATTAAAACATTTAGCACCTTCATCATCATCACCATCATCGTCACCATCATCATCATCATCATCACCACCACCTCCACCAGCACCTAAACCTATTTTATTAAATATCAATGAAGATTTATCAAAATTCAATTATTGAAAATGATATTCATTAGAATAGAGAACAGAAATCTCTGAATAAAACTTTCAATGAATCCATGGTAATTAATTAATATGGAAAATGCTTTTTTGTTTTTTTCTTTGTAAAGAAATAAATAGTCCTTTGTTGTTTTTTTTATGAACTTGTGTCATATTGTGGAAATGATGAACCAGATCCATAATAGATCACCCATAGAAATGATCGTTTTGTTCTAGTACAGGAATACTGAATAGTAATCATCCATACGCACACAATCACACACACACACCCGACTGGGATTCGAACCAAGAACTTTTGGTTTCGTATAAATGTTTCACTTCTAGATCAGTAACATGGAATTCAACATTGTTCGTATGTTTAACTTCAATCAATTCATGATATGGACACAATGATCATATATTGTATGTGTTCGATAACTGTTTTCTATGCAATATGGTTGAACTTCATTGGTTATGGGGTTTTTTTATTAGAAATTGATAAGTCTTGTCGATTGAACGCTATATTTGTTTCCTAAGCTATTCTGGTAACCCGGAAGCTAGAACTAAACAGCTACCTGAACACTAGCGAGAAGACGCAAAGTATGAGAGAAATACTTTAATCTAAGGTTCGTTTTTGTACAGAAAACATGGGTCTTTACAGATGTTAACGTTTGTTAAATCAACATCATATTTCGGCCAATCCGTTAACGACATATTATGCTATTGACCAATAGTAGCATGCCACTTTTGAATTCTAGAATGCTCCATCATGCTCTGATTGGCTAAGACTCTTCGGCTCCTTTTGGGCTTCTGTAGCCTCTGCTGAAGTTCTCCGAAAGCCTACTCAACAGAAATCTAAGAGTTTCATTATGAAATTAGTCACTAGTGAGAAGGGCATCATAAGTGTTAGTATAAAGTTCTGTAGATTGTTGAATTTCATTGGAATTCCTGAATCTATTTAAGTTAGATCACCATTGGGTAATACATATATTTCATTATGAATCGTTCAGTTGATGTTTATTAATTAATTTTGCATAATGATTATGTACTACAATAAACTACTAGTATCGAATATGTTTAACAGCATTATTATCACTTTTATCATTTAATATGTAGAAGTTAGAATATCAGATTGAATGAAGCAAGTCCACTTGGACTATTCATCATCTTATGTTTGATTAAATCAAAACAATATGATTATTATCAAAAGGGGTTTTGTGGAGATTTTTTAGAAATTTCATTGATTGAAATCATGAGTCAATTGAATATAGACCAGCATGGAAAACCTGGAAGTACTGGATAACCGTTTTGTTCCAGTGTAGGACTCATCAGCAATGCGCATCCATGATCCCACCTTGCAAGATTCGAACCCAGAACCTATCAATTTAGGTTCAATTAACTCATGATCTCAACTAATGAAACAACTATAATGTGCACAAAACCCTCTTTTGTTATTAATCACCATATGCTCACTAGTGACTGGCTTCAAGAGGTCTTTCCTTGAGTTCTATTTAGATACTGTGACCAGTGGAGTTCAACCAGGTCTGTTGTGAGATATCAACTCACTGAAGATAATGGTGTACGGTGGCTCAACTTCGTGGATTGGTTGAAGTTAAACATTAACACCGTTGGATGCCGGCCAGATCAGTAGTTTAGTTGGTTAGGCGTATGGCGCGAGACTGATAAGTCCTAGGTTCGAATCCCGCTGTGTGCAGGACCGTGGGTGCGCACTGCTAGACAGTCTCATACTAGGAAGAAATGGCCGTCCAGTGCTTCCAGGTTTCCCATGATGGTCTAGCTTCAATTGACTCATGATTTCAATCAGTGAAATATGATTATTGACATAGATAGATAATGGCTAGCATTGGGATCCAAGACGAGACTTGTCAGGTGGATGTACCTGCATCTCAGAAATACGCCTAATAGATTCAACTGCTAGTCACTAACTATATTCGCTTAAAAAGCTTGTGACTTAAGGCTATATCGAGGCAATCCACACAGGATACACATATGCCAATAAGTGACTGATCAATTGTAATACTAAAATAACAATGAGAAGATACAAATAAACCAACATCAAATGATTATCATCTGATTATTAAGAACAATTTATGAAAACTTAACGTTGGAACCCTATAATTATAATTCACTTGATATTGTTTTACTTGAATCTTCCCATTGATGTTTTTGGACTGAAATTGATCAGTCTCTTATTGGCATATGTGCATACTGTGCGTATGCCTCGATATTGCCTTAATTTACAAGCATTATAAGCAAAGATGGATAGTGGCTAGCAGTGGAATCCAGGACGCGCCACTGATCAATTTCAGTCCAAAAACAACAATGGGAAGATTCAAGTAAAACAATATCAAGTGAATTAAACTTCAACCCATTGCACAAGCAAGTGGCTATCAGGACTCAGTAGCTAAGTGGATAACGCGATGGCGTTTGAAGCGAACGGTAATGGGTTCGAGTCCCAGAGTGAACATCAACTCTGAGATGCAGGTACATCCCAAACAGGACGAAACGCGCGTCCTGGATTCCACTGCTAGCCACTATCCAACCTATAATTATAAGTTGACTATTTCACAACTGATCAATACTATAAATATGCCATGTGTTATTCTAATTGGTTAATATCATGGAAGGAAGATTGAATGAAGTTTGCAGTTTGATATGAATGATCGTTTCACTGAATGTGATTTCTCCCGTAATGAATCAACTTGTTAAAGTATTGTATTCTTCTATAAAACAACGAATGTATTTAAAACTATGTAAAGATAATCTGTTTATGGTTTATAGTTTGTATATTGAATTTAAGTTTCTGATAATGTTTCATTTTCATTCGAAAGAATTAGTTACCTTTATAATTTTTTGTTGTTGATGGAACATATCCTTCCAACATGATAAGTAATATCTAGTAAGGAGTTCGATTTAAGGGATCTGTTAGAATCTTCCTTTATTCATAAGAAATTAGAATACAAACACTACGATACTGATTGAAATCATGAACCGATTGATGTTAGACGACCGTTGGAAACCTGGAAGTATTGGATGGCCATTTCGTCCTATTGTGGAAGTCCTTAATATTGTGTATCTACAATCTAACCTCATGAGATTCAAAGCAAGACCCTATCAGTCTCGCGTTTGAGCGTTTAACCTCTACATCACTGATCCGGCCGGCATCCAACAATGTCTAACTTCAACTAATCCACGAAATTTAGCGACACATCAATCATTGTCATCAGTGTGTTGCCACCTCATAACAAACCTAGTTGAAGTCCACTGATCACGGCTTCTCACTTGAACTCCAGGATATGCCTCTTGAAGTCAGTCACTAGTGAGCAGATTGATTATTATAAGAAGGAGGGTTTTTGTGAATATTAAAGTATTTTATTAGTTGAGATCATGAGTCAATTGAAGCTAGAACACAGCCTCGATGGTTTAGAGGTTAAGTGTTTGCATGCGAGACTGATAGATCCTGGGTTTGAATCTCCTGAGGCGATATCATGAATATTTTTGAACACACAATATCACAGAACATCTTAATAAAATCTAAGAACCATTATAGTAAATATTTTATTTGCAACATGTCAATCAATTGTCTCGGACTTCATTATTCCTTCACTTCTTTATCAATTGCTTTCTAGTCCCGTTCTTTCTTCGTCGATCTTCTGCTGCCAGACATTCTATTCCTGACTAGCGTTATACATATATATGTACTACTTATGTCGATATAAGTAGTACATATCACACCGATAGTACTAAAAATACTGATGATGATAATAATAATAATAAAGTAACCGATTAACCCGTATATTGTCTAATTTCTACTTTCTTTACTTTTATTTTTAGGCATTTTCATTCATCAATTGGATTGATATATCCTAACAAACATAATCATCAATCTCCCTCCCCCCCTCTCACTCACGTTTCTATGGATTAGTGTATTCATTCGTTATTTTCTTTTCTTTTTTTCTTTCTTTTCTTTTCTTTTTTTAGAGAGAGAAAAAAAACCTGTATTCAGTTTGTTCTATTGTAGAAAATTGTATGTATGTATGTATGTATGTATAATGATTTGTGTGTATATTATAGAATAGTTTCACAGAAGAGAAACAAAAATCCCTATTTATGCTCAATACTAACTCAGATGTAAATGTGTTCCTTCAAACTAACCAACCAACCAACAAAGAAAGAAAAAAACATTCCATTTGCTCATCCGAGTTTCTTTTATTTGGGGGGGGGAGGGGGAAGGGGTGGGAGTCTTAACTCATTTACAAATTTTTTTCTTGAGTTCAATTTTTTTTGTTGAGTAGGTTCTTTTTGTTTGTTTACATATACATATTGAATATGATTTTAATTATTATTTTTTATTATGATTATGATTATGATCAAATGTCTTTCTATCTAATTGATGAATGTTTATTAGCTCGAATCCTTTAATTCATCCATGTAGAATACAGCACTTATTATTATTATTATACTTATGAGTGTAATCTATTTAGAATTATGATTAGTATTTTGTTGTTTGGATTGTAATTAAATGAAAAAAAGGCACACAATCACTATTATTATTATTATTATTATTATTGACTATTCTTGTTATAACTTGTCGGATTGAATGCTATTTGTTATCTTTGGTCATCGGTGATTGTTGTGTCGGAAACGCTTATCATTTATAATTGAAACAAGTGACCTCTGCAATTCCCGACGATGTGAAAGTAAGAACACAAAGACGACTATCAGTGAAGATTTATTAATCCCCAAAACACGATGATGATGATGATGATGATGATGGTGACCCTAGTCGAAAATACACTGATTTATATATTGATTGTACACTGAATAATCATCAAAACGGAAGTAATGTGAAACCAAAACTCATAATGAGTAAATTAATCAAGTTTTCACTATTCTTCCCATCATATCAATTACAAATTGTAATAGAATAATTATGACTAAGGAAATAAATATGTATAGATAGAGGGATTCTTTATTTATTTATTTATTTTAACACATAGA